GAAATGCTGCCTGAAAACTACTGTCAGCTGTTTCCATGAACTACTGGCATGCTGAAGCAGTTCCAAAAGGTATGAATGAGGGGTGGAAATGTGAACATTGGGCTAAATTTGAAAAGACAAAGTGAGACGATCTGAGTAATTACTGGGTTTCAGCCACCTCTTTCTAGGGAAATTATATGAGGCTAGGCTAAGAATGGAAAAGAGATCACTGGAGTTAATCAGTATGGTCCAGGGAGCCTGGTGGAATAGGTTGTAGTACTCTGCAATGGGACTGTGTGTTTTGTCGACAGCAATGCTGATACACTGAAACTCTGCAAGGTGTAGAAAATGGCAGCTTGGGTTTCCACTATTCCTTGTTCTCCAGTTTTATTCTTACCTATAGTTAGATCCATTTGGCCCTGTAAGGACTGAGGACTCTATGTAAAAGAAATGCTCTTTGGCTGCTCTTGCTGCTCTCTCACTTAAGAGCAAGCTGTCTGCAGGCTGGGGTCCTTCAGGGCTGTGAAGGACGAAGTGCCCAGTGGTCCCTTGTAATACTTGTATTGCACCATACTGACAACAGAGCTCCTTCTCCAACAGGGAAGGTGAAGCTCTACCTCAGCCCTGGGAAACAAGGTGAGCCATCAGGTCCACCCTATTCTAAGGAAGACAGTGAAAAATGAATTTATTTGTTCTTAGACGATAAATCCATTCTTGCTAAACAACAGAGCCCATACCCTGGGTTTGCAGCAGCATTGGGAAAGCTATATAGGAGTGCTCCTACACTTCCCTTTTCCCCATACCTACCCCTTTCCCACAACTCCAAGGCAGTGGGGAGGGAAGGCAGCTGTTGGCCATTTTAAGGGAAGGACAGGTGGGACTCCCCAACATGTGTACTGTGATCCCAGAAACAGTGAGCCAGCCCAGTTTCTGGGGCACCTCTCAAGTCCTTGGGGAAAGGAGGAAGACATTTCTTCTGGCTGCTGTGGAAAATGTCACATGAAGGGAGGAAACAGGTCTGTCAAGTGCAGCATCCTGTCTCTAGCAGGGCTCAAAGGAGCCAAGAGAGGAAAGAGATTAGAGCAAGCATATCTGCTGCCTCTCCTCCAGCTTCCCAGCACTTTGCAAGGCAGATGTACTTTCTGAGTGGGTAGTACTTCTGCATTTAGCATCACCAATGTGTTTGTGTGGCCAGCTGAGTATATCTGTATGTGCCCACATACCAATTGGGAATACATGCTCAGCCTTGCTACTGGGTGAACTGGTGGACAAAATTGCTGCAGCAGCCTCACCTCTATCCAGTTACAGAATGTGAAAACTGTGACCACTGGCATCGCATGCAATTTGAATATTTCCCTAACAAGCTGCAGAATTGAGGCCACTCAGACTTTAGATTTAGTAACATTGATAGCTGTCCCCAGCCTCTATGATATTTAGGGAGGGGTGATCAACTTGTCATGGCAGAGAGGAAGAAAGTTGTGAGCCTGGGCGGCTTACTTTAAACATTGCACCTGGATGTGACTAAGGCCCACTTCTTACTCCACAGCATGGAAATGCCTGCCTGTCTTGAAGGCACTGTTTTTTTGCACATGGTTATGAGACTCTTGGGTGGAGCTGTATTTGTCGAGCCAAATGGCTGTAGTACAGAGGGTTTCCTCTGCCTGCTCCCTCTGAAAGACATACACACGCTAGCAAGTTCTAGGAGGCAGCAATATTACTATGTAGTTATCACTTACACATTGATGCGATCATATTTGCTGTTGCTCTCTGGTGGTCTGGAAACCATAGTGCTGCCAGTTTTGTTGGTGAAAAGATGATAAGGGGCTGTGCCAATGCACAGAGACATTGCCCAATGAACAGGTACCAGTAACTCTGGGAACCCAAGCTCAGGAACTTCAGGACACTGAACATCCGGATGATGCTACCTGTCATGTTCAGCCATGCACTCAGGATCACCTGCAGCAAGCAGAAACAGCTAGGGGTTGTGTGCTGAGGCCTGAGGGACAGAACTTAATGCAACAGAGTAGGATGAGCAGCATCTCAGGACACGCTGGGTGTTAGTAATCACTGCATGGAAAGTTGCCTGCAGACCACCCCCACCCCTTTGAGCCACTGCAAGGTGCTCCTGATCCAACAGCAAGTTACCTGTCTACTTAGGGAGCAAGGTAGCTGTCCTGGCCCCATATGAGAACTACACCACAAAGTAGCTTATGCAAGACAGAAGACACGGTCATGGAATTGATGAGAAATCCAAAGTTCATTAATTACACTCTGCTTGCAAGTTTGCACCATCGCCCATATTTTTTTGTTACAATCCAAAGATCATGGCAATAAGTAATCCAGCATACAGATCCTGAAAATGCTCTTGTTCTATACCACTAGCATGCTATGGAACATGCAGTGCCATATTCCATAACAACGCTTGCGTCTGGGAAAACTGTGTAGAGATCCCAGACTGGCTCAGCGCAGACCAAGCTCTAAACTGACAGGGGTCCCCAGCTTGCACCCTGCCCTGCTGCTCCTTAAACAGGCCCTGCAAACAAAATAGCTGTGCTAACACTTTTCCACAGCACACCCTGGCCAGTTACAGTAAGCTCTTCAGAGTCAGCTCACAGCATCTGTCCCTGTCAGTTGGCTAAGACAACAAAAACTGGAGGAGGAAAAGGCAAGTAGGGATGTAACATTATTCTGATTTTTCTCACTGCTCCCCACCTCAAAGATGACGTGACAACTATTACTGATATAGGACAGAGCTTTCAACATGCTTATCCTCTGCAGCATTTGGCAAAACTCCCATTCACAGTATGCATGTTAGTGATTTGTGCAGCTACTACTATCTCTAGGTGAAACACCCTGAGGAAAACAGAATAGTTCAACTCACAGAACATCTGAGTCCCACACTGTCGAGAACCCATGTTGCCACCAGACCAAATGGGATTGAGATGAGGAGGTACACTATTGACAGCCAGTTGACCATCTCCAGGGAAATGTGGAAGTAGGCAGCTGTCTTATCAGCCACAGGAGCAAATGTCAGCCACAGCTGCAGAGTAGAGAACAAAGATGTGTAAGCATGAATGCCTCCACCTGAACAGAAATTCAGCATCCCCTCAAACTGTCTAACTGAGTTGTGAAGGGGCTTTGATATCTTAGTCTGTCCTTGAAATTAGGATGTTAAGACTGGTAAAAAAAATTCAAACCCCCAGTGTCTGCAGTTACTCATACTAGGACTATTTTACCACTGATACCATCACTATCTTGGCCCAGGGCACCCCATCCATTTCACTACCTCATTTCCAAACCCCTAGTCCTTCTTCAGTACCTTTTTCTTCCTCCAGGTTGAACATGTTGGCTCAAGATGCACTTACCTGATATAAACCACAAGCAATCCTTCTATGCTAGCACAAACAAAACAGAGGCTGCCATCTTCTCTCTGCAACTAGAGCCTCTTAAACTCAGCCTAGTATTTACGGTTGCATTGGTAACCCTTGGATGTGGCCTTTTAAGAACAACTTTGCTATCTGTCAACCAAGAGAGACATTATTCCATGCTGTGCTACACACACTCAAAGGTTAGGAAAGGGCCTAGAAATTAGCATTATTCAATACATCAGAACACATAACAGGCAAACACAAGAGGTACTTTAATAACTATCCATCTTATTCTTCAGTGCCATTACCTGAAAATATTCCTCTAAACCTTGTTTTAGGCACTGGTTCCATACGGTTGCTGTCTACTTCTCGTTTCTTCTGGGAATGACAAGGCCTGCTTTGATCCTCAAATCAGGTCCTGAGATCATGCCCACAAGAAAGACATGAGGGTACTACCCCAAATTTAAGGATGTTTCTGTGGATTCTTGTCAGGGACCAGTTGGAGAACTCTGGTTTCAAGCCTGGTTTGACACAAGTTCTGGATTTCTGAGAGGCAAATAAAGGTGCATCCACACCAAGCAATGAGATACATGAGAGAAATTTCTTTATTAAACAAGGAACAAAGTTGTGTGTATTGTAACATTTAAGTGAGCAAAGAAAGGTGGAAGAATAGAAAGAGGAAAGCTCGAAAGAGAGGAGATAATATTTAAAGGTGGAAGAAAATAAAAGAGGAGAGCTAGAAGGAGAGGAGAAAGCAGAAAGTCTCACCACCCTGGGTTCCAGCAACGAGCAACAAAGATTCTTCTTGTATTCTTTCCTGACAGAGATGGAGTTGTCTTATTTTTTTCTGCATCATGGATCCAGAATAGCGGGGATACCTCACTGATGGCCAAAGCTGTTGCCTTTTATTTGCTCCAGTTCTTAAGGGCCTTCCCAGTGGGTGGAGGTGATTAGAATAAGCATGCAGACCTAATCAGTCCTTCCAGATGATTCTGAAAATAGGCCTAGTTCACAAGGTTCTGGAAATAGACTTGGAGGTCCCTGGTGATTGACAGACCCCAGAGAAGTTCTCTTTTGACATTTATTAGATGCACAATCATCTCCTTCAGGCCATCACCATCAGTGGTCATCAGGGCGTATATTGGAGTTTGGAGACAGGACAATACTCTACACATCCTGCAGAGCTTGTTCCTTATCAGCAACTCCCCTTCCCCCTAGGTCTCCCTTTTCATTATTCTTACCAGTCCCCTTGGTCATCAGAGTGGGAGGGTCAGTACAGAAGCCTGCCTTTGTTTGCTTACATGCCTTTGGAGTTGTCTGAGGCATATTTTTAACAAAGTTCTGGAGTATTATTTTTTTACCTGTCTCTTACAATTCTTTGTGAAGGTGCCCTCTCTGGTGTTTTTCAAAAAGACTGGCCTAAACTGAGAACAGATTACAGTAATGTGGATGTAAGCTACTTCACTGTTAGAAGATGATTTTGCAGCTGCTGAATACTGAAGATTATGATGTTTGCTGAATGTGAACAAAAACTTAAGCTTAAGTTCCTACAAAAGAACTCCACCCACTGTATGCTTCCAGGTACCCTACCCCTCTCTGCCATCACAAGCTTCCTCTTCACAGCCTGCATCCTGCAGACAGCATCAGCTGTGGCATTAACGTGCAATTGAAAAAGGCTTGGGTAACCACAGAGGAAGACATGTCCCTATACTCTGCTACTTGTTATTTCCAGTATTCCTATTTACTTCGTACATTCTAGAGACCATAAAACCTACCACATTAAATGGAAGCAGAAGGGAAGATGGGCTTTTCTTCTTTCTTAGTGTCACTGTGTGAGAATAGCCACATGCAAATAATTGTTTAGCTAAACATTTCTCCTAGCAGAGATGCAATGAGTAAATGGCAATAACAGGTAAATTCTGAATGTATTAGTAGTGTCCAAGCAAAGACTCCTAGCATCAGCCCTTTGCTCTTCTCTTGAAAGGAGAAAATGCCAAATCTCTTGCATTCAACAGGAAGCTCACATCACCATGCTGGGCTTATACCACCCATTTGAGATCAGTCAGTTCTGACAAGGGGTGGATTTGGTGTTTAACTCAGCTTCTGCGATAGGGTGGATGAAGATATTGGGTGCTGAAGGAAACAGTACACAAGGAGGCTATTCCAAGTCACTAGGAGACTTGCAGCAGACTTCTCATAAAATGAGCTTTTTAAAAATTCCTTGAAATAATATATTACAGTCTAATAATGTTACCATCTTGTCTCAGGAAGAAATTTCACCCACGTCTCTTTTACCAGAACTGATCTCTATTAGATTGGGATGGGATGTTTAATGTTAATGTAACTGTTTAAATGTTACAAGTACCACTAAGGCATGAGTATTAGTTTGATTACAGGACACTGAACTGCTGCTTAACAAAACTCAGCTGTCTGTTTCCAACAACAGCAATTCTCAGTTCCTCACTGCCTTCCATATGGGGGTGGTGGTGGTGAAACACTGTACCAGGAAACAGTGTAATTAAAGAGATGACACATTTTGTAAGCCAGCTTCAGGTACATTTTTGTCTCTCTTGTTCCACCACACAAGATGCTCACCCATGCATGACATCATTAGGAGAATCATGCCACAAGACAGAGCACAGCATTTTGTGTTCAGACGCTGTGTGCACCTGCAAGCTGCAGTGCAATCTGGTATGTTTCCATTAGACCTACTAAAACCATTCCTTGCTGAAAACCAAGCATTAAGGCTGCTGTGTATTTCTGTCCCGAGCAAGAGCTCCAGTTCTAGCATATGTGTGTGAGAGCACAGAAGGTGGGAAGCTGCAGCCTGTCCAAGCCTGGGTTTGTTCTTCAAAATAGGAAGTGGGTTTCTTTACAGGTCTGGTAGGAAAAAGTATTTTTCTGCCTCCATTCAGGCAGGTTTTGTTTACTGTGTGTTGCTCTAACAGAGAAATTAAGAAGTAGGCAACTGAGCTCGAGGTGTAGCTGTGGTCAAAGTGGCTGCCAAATGCCCCTGCAACAAAGAGATGGCACTGTGGGGTTTTGCTAACACAGGGAAACTACCATGCTAAAGAAGTGAGTATGCTACCTTATGCTTTTGGTTTTCCCAGCTACAATGACTTCAGCCACAGTAGTTAGCAAGCTCTTCTTCTGGGACCTAGAGCCTGTATCCTACATATTGTTACTGAAACTCTACACTGACAAAGACTGCCCTGATACACGTATCCTCAAGCAGAACAGGGTGAGGATGATGCAGTTCTTTCCTGGTGAGGTCTAAGCCCTGTAATGTCTAAAGACACAGAATAGAGACTGAGAGAGGTTTCTCTCTCCTCCACTCCACAAGGGCTATTGTCTTAACTCACCTTTGGCACACCAAAAACAGTATCAAAGCTCCCTATTCGAGGTGACAGATACAGGAAGAGAGATTATGTGTGGGGTTAGAGGATGCCAGCCCCGAAAAGCTGATTGCTGCTTGGACAGATGAAGGAGAAACAGACACCTCTGTCCTTGCAGCGTTGTCTACACTTGTTCAGTCCCTGCACAAGCCTCACTTTGTGTCAATATGCCCTTGTGATCTGGTCAAGCTGCACCCAGCTCCATGGCCTGCGTAATAGCACAGACCTAGAGCCTCAGCATGAGGTGTCAAAGCCATCAAGGGAAGTCTGTGTTACGCACTGCACTGCTACATCCACGTCCACACATGCTCCTTGAAGGCAGCTCAACGGATGTCACAACAGCAGAACTGTGAGAGTCCACCCCCATGCCAGTGTCTCTTTCTGACCTGCAATGGTAACAAGCAATTTCCATTCACCCACTGTGGCTTATGTCCCTTCTGAGACCTGTCAGGGATACAATTAACCAAAACCTTTCAGCAAACTTTGACAAAATTTGCAGCTTGGCACCCCACAGCCATGAATGCTGGCTTCAAATGCACCCAGCTCAGAGTCCCACCCTCTGACTGCTCAACTTCCTTGTGGAGTCCAAACAGAAGAACACAGCTGGGTTGCTTAATGAGTTGGAGAGGATGATGCTGGAGGTCAGCAGGAGTCTACTCTCTGGGCCATAGCACAGTTAGGTCGAGTAATTTACACAGAAGCCCAGGCAGAACCATTCAAGCAGGGACTCTTGCATCTGAACACTGAACAATTACAATGAGCCCAACCCCTCGATACTTGGCAAAACTTCCTTCCCAGCATTACCTCACAGATTTTGCATTATTTGTTCTCAAATGACAGCTCCTACTGCAGTATCATTGGCCATGGTCACTCATGTTGTAGATCATAGTATTTGATCCTTCAGCATCCAGAATGGAATTTTCCCTCCCTTCAGATATGCATCTAGCAGGATGTTGAAACAGTTGTCACTGTAATAACACACACCATTTCTTCTTCAAATGCAGGAACTGTAGTTCCCACACTTCCCTCCTGAGCTCAAGCCTCAGAAGCACATTCATCTCACTGTGATTTCTGAATTTAAAGGTAGAAAAAGCTCCAGTGTATGCTAGTCTGGGCACGAAGTCATACCCAGCACACACTCTTCCCTATAAAAACTTGTGCTCTCACAGTGGGCACAGCAGCTGATAAAGAGGATAGAAGGTTCCCTGAAGACATGCAAGCCTGTTCTGGCTTGCACAGGGGTACAGCTGCAGCTCCCACTGCTTTCAGCATGAGGCAGGCTGATTGGGTAGCCATGCCCCATCACTAGAAGAAAAAGGTGGAAATGTTTTCCAACTAGA